CCACCACATTCAAGTCGTTCATCCCCCCCAACTCATTCAAATGTAGAAACTGGTTAATCCAGTCTGACCCCTGCTGCGGTCTCTGGCTCCACACCTAGCCCCGCCCCGCCCCCCGCCATCTAGAGGTGTGAATGTCCACATTCCAGCTGCTGTAAAGGATTCCAACAGGAGCATGGGAGGTGTGGACCTGTCAGACGCGCTGATTGGCTACTACAATGTTCTCCACAAGACGATGAAATGGTACAAGACTTTGTTCTATCACTTCTATGGACATTGCTGTGGTGAATGCATTCATCCTCCAGAAGGGAATGGCTAAGAGCTGGGGACAGACCCCCCCCATGACACAGCTAGCCTTCAGAGAGCTGCTCATCCAGGAGAGACTACGGCACAAAGTCCACTGCAGCACCTTCTGTCCCCTCTTGTGTAGAGGACTGTGGTTGTTCTTAAATACTGTAATTGTAAATAGTGTGTAAATCGTTTTTTTTTTCTCTCACTTTGTGTGTGGTTTGTGGTGTGTTCACTTATTACTTATCTTAAATAGTTCACTTCTGTGTTGGGGAGGCATTGGATCAGTATTCTCACCGCGTCTCCTGTTAGTACCTTTTATGAAGGGAAGCTAATGATCCATCATGTATGACATTCCTGGGAGTGTGTCATCTTAAATGTTGTATTACCAGAGCATTTTTCTATGTTCTCTATAGTTATGTACTTGAAAATGTATCAATTGACCAATTCAGCCACTTGGAGGCCACTTGGGTACATTTGGGCTAACTCGTGAGGGACACCTTGGAGTGACGATGCCCTCTTGTGGATAACATCTAAATTACACCCACCTTCCTATCTGAGTATATGGCCTCTCTTTTTCGTTTCAAAGAAATAAAAATAGAAAACGTATGTTTTTTTGTTTGTTTTATCTTATACCAGATCTATTGTGTTATGTTCTCCTACATTCATTTCACATTTCCACAAACTCCAAATTGTTTCCTTTTCAAATAGTATCAAGAATATGCATATCCTTGCTTCAGGTCCTGAGCTACGGGATGTTAGATTTGGGTTTGTCATTTTAGGCGGGAAATTGAAAAGAAGGGTCTGATCCTTAAGAAGCTAACTTCAGGACAGCAATGTTGAGAGCAGTAGCAACACTTTTTCCGTTCTTCATGATATCTTTTAATATAAGCCGCGGGTAGAACGGATTATATCTACACATACGGATCAGCTCATGTTATAGACAGAAACGTGTTACATGGCAGACCAATCCGAACTCATCTCTCGGCATGTCCAGCCCATCCATTATCTCAGCCAATCATGACTAGTGTGAAGGTTCCTGTATTTTTTTCCGTGACTAAGCCAACCAAGCTCGTAATTTTAACAACTGTATTCATATTTACAGATGGCATACAAGTTTGTTATTAAGACACATGAAAGTTCACATGTTCCAGAAGGCATTTCAGCACCAAAAAAGCATTTTGATAAAAATAAAAAATATTTCAAAGCCTCTCCTGTGAAGTAGTGACGTGCGATCTAGGTTCCTGAAACGGGCCACAAATGATCATCTGCTTTTTATTATCGGACTCCTGTATTCTTTTAAACAGACATTTAAAGATGGTTGAAAAACAGGAAGTGAATGTTAGCAAAAACAATCCTCATTAATCACACATTTTCTGTACTAATTGTGTATAAAATGGGAAATTACCAGACTGTGAAATGTTATTGACATCTAAAATATCATTTTTGAATGATGAACCTATTCGAATGTAATTGTTTTATTATTTTTGGAACTCTTGAAAAATATGCTCTTCCAGGCGGATGAGTTGCCTGTTTTAAGGAATGCAATTTAGTCAAAGCTAGCTATTGTGGACTATGAAGAAATATTGTTCTGGGATTGTTTTTGTCTGTGTATATCGCAAAATCTTTTCATATCAGTATTTATTGTCTGCCTGTTGTCTTCAATACGTTTCACAATATTATTCAGTACATGTCATTTTACAGGTGTTATGAGCATATAAACAGTAAACGCATTCTTTACATATATTTGAATATTCATATTTTGACACACAAATGTATCATATTTTATTCATATTTGATATCAGTCCTCATTTAACTAGGCCTGTCTTCCATTATAAGTAACTGAAGCAGACAATGTTAATGCATCATTTTTTTTTTTATGATTTAAAAAGTCTATGCAAATTCCAATACAAAATGAGTTTACCCTAATTGGGCAACTCATCCGGCTGGTTGATACACCTGTTCCCAGAGTCTGCAACACCACCAAGCAAGCGGCACCATGAAGACCAAGGAGCTCTCCAAACAGGTCAGGGACAAAGTTGTGGAGAAGTACAGATCAGGGTTGGGTTATAAAAAAATATCTGAAACTTTTAACATCCAATGGAGCACCATTAAATCCATTATTAAAAAATTGAAAGAATATGCAAAGCTCCACAGCGGAGATTGGAGTATCTGTCCATAGGACCACTTTAAGCCGTACACTCCACAGAGCTGGGCTTTACGGAAGAGTGGCCAGAAAGAAATAAGCAAACACGTTTGGTGTTTGCCAAAAGGCATGTGGGAGACTCCCCAAACATATGGAAGAAGGTACTCTGGTCAGATGAGACTAAAATTGAGCTTTTTGGCCATCAAGGAAAACGCTATGTCTGGCACAAACCCAACACCTGTCATCACCCCGAGAACACCATTTTTCATCAGCAGGGACTGGGAAACTGGTCAGAATGGAAGGAATGATGGCGCTAAATACAGGGAAATGTGAGTTCTTACTGAATGTTTTTTTTAAATCTTCAATAGCGCCAATGACTCAGATGACCTCAGGGAACCACCACATTCAAGTCGTTCATCCCCCCCAACTCATTCAAATGTAGAAACTGGTTAATCCAGTCTGACCCCTGCTGCGGTCTCTGGCTCCACACCTAGCCCCGCCCCCCCCGCCATCTAGAGGTGTGAATGTCCACATTCCAGCTGCTGTAAAGGATTCCAACAGGAGCATGGGAGGTGTGGACCTGTCAGACGCGCTGATAGGCTACTACAATGTTCTCCACAAGACAATGAAATGGTACAAGACTTTGTTCTATCACTTCTATGGACATTGCTGTGGTGAATGCATTCATCCTCCAGAAGGGAATGGCTAAGAGCACACAGCTAGCCTTCAGAGAGCTGCTCATCTAGGAGAGACTACGGCACAAAGTCCACTACAGCACCATCTGTCCCCTCTTGTGTAGAGGACTGTGGTTGTTCTTAAATACTGTAATTGTAAATAGTGTGTAAATCGTTTTTTTTTTCTCTCACTTTGTGTGTGGTTTGTGGTGTGTTCACTTATTACTTATCTTAAATAGTTCACTTCTGTGTTTGGGAGGCATTGGATCAGTATTCTCATCGCGTCTCCTGTTAGTACCTTTTATGAAGGGAAGCTAATGATCCATCATGTATGACATTCCTGGGAGTGTGTCATCTTAAATGTTGTATTACCAGAGCATTTTTCTATGTTCTCTATAGTTATGTACTTGAAAATGTATCAATTGACCAATTCAGCCACTTGGAGGCCACTTGGGTACATTTGGGCTAACTCGTGAGGGACACCTGGGAGTGACGATGCCCTCTTGTGGATAACATCTAAATTACACCCACCTTCCTATCTGAGTATATGGCCTCTCTTTTTCGTTTCAAAGAAATAAAAATAGAAAACGTATGTTTTTTTGTTTGTTTTATCTTATACCAGATCTATTGTGTTATGTTCTCCTACATTCATTTCACATTTCCACAAACTCCAAATTGTTTCCTTTTCAAATAGTATCAAGAATATGCATATCCTTGCTTCAGGTCCTGAGCTACGGGATGTTAGATTTGGGTTTGTCATTTTAGGCGGGAAATTGAAAAGAAGGGTCTGATCCTTAAGAAGCTAACTTCAGGACAGCAATGTTGAGAGCAGTAGCAACACTTTTTCCGTTCTTCATGATATCTTTTAATATAAGCCGCGGTAGAACGGATTATATCTACACATACGGATCAGCTCATGTTATAGACAGAAACGTGTTACATGGCAGACCAATCCGAACTCATCTCTCGGCATGTCCAGCCCATCCATTATCTCAGCCAATCATGACTAGTGTGAAGGTTCCTGTTTTTTTTCCGTGACTAAGCCAACCAAGCTCGTAATTTTAACAACTGTATTCATATTTACAGATGGCATACAAGTTTGTTATTAAGACACATGAAAGTTCACATGTTCCAGAAGGCATTTCAGCACCAAAAAAGCATTTTGATAAAAATAAAAAATATTTCAAAGCCTCTCCTGTGAAGTAGTGACGTGCGATCTAGGTTCCTGAAACGGGCCACAAATGATCATCTGCTTTTTATTATCGGACTCCTGTATTCTTTTAAACAGACATTTAAAGATGGTTGAAAAACAGGAAGTGAATGTTAGCAAAAACAATCCTCATTAATCACACATTTTCTGTACTAATTGTGTATAAAATGGGAAATTACCAGACTGTGAAATGTTATTGACATCTAAAATATCATTTTTGAATGATGAACCTATTCGAATGTAATTGTTTTATTATTTTTGGAACTCTTGAAAAATATGCTCTTCCAGGCGGATGAGTTGCCTGTTTTAAGGAATGCAATTTAGTCAAAGCTAGCTATTGTGGACTATGAAGAAATATTGTTCTGGGATTGTTTTTGTCTGTGTATATCGCAAAATCTTTTCATATCAGTATTTATTGTCTGCCTGTTGTCTTCAATACGTTTCACAATATTATTCAGTACATGTCATTTTACAGGTGTTATGAGCATATAAACAGTAAACGCATTCTTTACATATATTTGAATATTCATATTTTGACACACAAATGTATCATATTTTATTCATATTTGATATCAGTCCTCATTTAACTAGGCCTGTCTTCCATTATAAGTAACTGAAGCAGACAATGTTAATGCATCATTTTTTTTTTTATGATTTAAAAAGTCTATGCAAATTCCAATACAAAATGAGTTTACCCTAATTGGGCAACTCATCCGGCTGGTTGAGATGTTTCGATGCATTATTTATCACATTTTAAGTCATGCCAATAAAGCATTGTCGTGTGCGACGTGAATGCGGTAGGCGAAGTCAACCGCAGGACACCGAGCTACTGGAAACGTACTTTACTTCACAAAGTAACCAGAGTACAAAACAACCTCCAAACAGGGAGGAAAAATAACCCGCACAATAAGCAACTGCCGAATGACGAAAAACAATCACACACAATACACAATGAAAGACAGAGGGTTATATAGGGAAGACAATACAACATCATTGGGAACAGGTGTACACAATTAAGACCAAACAAGACAAATACCGAAACATAGATCGGTAGCAGCTAGTACTCCGGGGACGACGAACGCTGAAGCCTGCCCGAGCAAGGAGGAGGAGCAGCCTCGGCTGAATCCGTGACAAGCATATTCATGTATGACCTATAGTACCCTTTCCTGCAGTGAAATAACCAAATCGCCCTCTAGTGGCCTCTTGCTTTGAATGTTATTAATATTTTTCATAATTAATAAACATTCATTAAAAAAAAAACCCGCAGAAAATCTGGTGTTTCTATGTCAAACGGTTTTGTTATATTTCAGTCTTCTACTCATTCAAGGGTTTTTCTTTATTTTTACTATTTTCTACATTGTAGAATAATAGTGAAGACACCAAAACTATGAAATAACACATATGGAATCATGTAGTAACCAAAAAAGTGTTTATATTTTATATTTGAGATTCTTCAAATACCCACCCTTTGCCCTTTGCATTCTCTCAACCAGCTTCATGAGGTAGTCACCTGGAATGCATTTCAATTAACAGGTGTGCCTTCTTAAAAGTTAATTTGTGGAATTTCTTTCCTTCTTAATGCGTTTGAGCCAATCAGTTGTGTTGTGACAAGGTAGGGGGGTTATACAGAAGATAGCCCTATTTGGTAAAAGACCAAGTCCATATTATGGCAAGAACAGCTCAAATAAGCAAATAGAAACGACAGTCCATCATTACTTTAAGACATGAGGGTCAGTCAATGCAGAACATTTCAAGAACTTTGAAAGTTTCTTCAAGTGCAGTCGCAAAAATCATGAAGCGCTATGATGAAACGGGCTCTCATGAGGACCGCCACAGGAATGAAAGACCCAGATTTACCTCTGCTGCAGAGGATAAGTTCATTAGAGTTACCAGCCTCAGAAACTGCAGCCCAAATAAATGCTTTACAGAGTTCAAGTAACAGTCACATCTCAACATCAACTGTTCAGAGGAGACTGTATGAATCAGGCCTTCATGGTCGAATTGCTGCAAAGAAACCACTTCTAAAGGACACCAATAAGAAGAAGAGACCTGCTTGGGCCAAGAAACACGAGCAATGGACATTAGACCGGTGGAAATTTGTCCTTTGGTCTGGAGTCCATATTGGAGATTTTTGGTTCTAACCGCCGTGTCTTTGTGAGACGCGGTGTGGGTGAACGGATGATCTCTGCATGTGTATTTCCCACTGTAAAGCATGGAGGAGGAGGTGTTATGGTGTGGGGGTGCTTTGCTGGTGACACTGTCTGTGATTTATTTAGAATTCAAGGCACACTTAACCAGCATGGCTACCACAGCATTCTCTGTATGTGTATCTCTTTGTATGTGTGTGTGTGTGTGTGTGTGTGTGTGTGTGTGTGTGTGTGTGTGTGTGTGTGTGAGACAGGGTGATAATAACACTTAAGTGATTAACTCTGTCCTCATTTTAGGGGTTATTATCTTAATAGATGAATGTACAGAGGGGCTCAGGGGTGTGTGTCTGTGTGTGTACAGAGTATTAGCCAGGTATTATAACAGTGTTATATCTGTCAAAACAACACGTTACACAATCTCCTTTTTATAGACAGTACTTTACCTCCCGCCGGGATAGCATGTGCTGCAACGTGTGTGGGTGTGTGGGTGTGTGTGTGTGTGTGTGTGAGTGTGTGAGTGTGTGTGTGTGTGTGTGGGTGGGTGTGTGTTGTGTGTGTGAGTGAGTGTGTGTGTGTGTGTGTGTAGTTTGCCACCATAAGGCACTATTTTCTGTTGTTGTGATTGTATAAGACACTCCTCTGCCAGGTCCATTAGTTCCACATAAGACACTCCTCTGCCAGGCCCATTAGTTCCACATAAGACACTCCTCTGCCAGGCCCATTAGTTCCACATAAGACACTCCTCTAACAGGCCCATTAGTTCCACATAAGACACTCCTCTGCCAGGCCCATTAGTTCCACATAAGACACTCCTCTGCCAGGCCCATTAGTTTCATATAAGACACTCCTCTGCCAGGCCCATTAGTTCCACATAAGACACTCCTCTGCCAGACCCATTAGTTCCACATAAGACACTCCTCTGCCAGGCCCATTAGTTCCACATAAGACACTCCTCTGCCAGACCCATTAGTTCCACATAAGACACTCCTCTGCCAGGCCATTAGTTTCCAACATAAGACACTCCTCTGCCAGGCCCATTAGTTCCACATAAGACACTCCTCTGCCAGGCCCATTAGTTCCACATAAGACACTCCTCTGCCAGGCCCATTAGTTCCACATAAGACACTCCTCTGCCAGACCCATTAGTTCCACATAAGACACTCCTCTGCCAGGCCCATTAGTTCCACATAAGACACCTCCTCTGCCAGCCCTTAGTTCCACATAAGACACTCCTCTGCCAGACCCATTAGTTCCACATAAGAACACCCCTCTGCCAGACCCATTAGTTCCACATAAGACACTCCTCTGCCAGACCCATTAGTTCCACATAAGACACTCCTCTGCCAGACCCATTAGTTCCACATAAGACACTCCTCTAACAGGTCCATTAGTTCCACATAAGACACTCCTCTAACAGGTCCATTAGTTCCACATAAAGACAACTCCTCTAACAGGTCCATTATTCCACATAGACACTCCTCTAACAGGTCCATTAGTTCCACATAAGACACTCCTCTACCAGACCCTTAGTTCCACATAAGACACTCCTCTGCCAGACCATTAGTTCCACATAAGACACTCCTCTGCCAGACCATTAGTTCCACATAAGACACTCCTTGCCAGACCCATTAGTTCCACATAAGACACTCTCGCCAGACCCATTGTTCATAAGAAACTCCTCTGCCAGGACCCATTAGTTCCACATAAGACACTCCTCTACCACCCATTAGTTCCACATAAGACACTCCTCTAACAGTCCATTAGTTCCCACATAAGACACTCTCTGCCAGACCCATTAGTTCCCATAAGACACTCCTCTGCCAGACCCATAGTTCCACATAAGACACTCCTCTACCGACCCCATTAGTTCCACATAAGACACTCCTCGCCAGACCCATTAGTTCCACATAAGACACTCCTCTGCCAGACCCATTAGTTCCACATAAGACACTCCTCTGCCAGGCCCATTAGTTCCACATAAGACACTCCTCTACCAGACCCATTAGTTCCACATAAGACACTCCTCTACCAGACCCATTAGTTCCACATAAGACACTCCTCTACCAGACCCATTAGTTCCACATAAGACACTCCTCTACCAGACCCATTAGTTCCACATAAGACACTCCTCTGCCAGACCCATTAGTTCCACATAAGACACTCCTCTACCAGTCCCACTGCCTAACTTGTTTTTCATAGGGAAAAATCCTATGGGAAAAATACATGGGTTGGAAGGATGAAAGAAAGAGTGATAAGACAGAGGAAGCTGCCATTGCTGCACTGCTATCACACATTATACAACTCTAGGGACATAGACCTTCATTAAAATCACTATGAGACGTGGTCAACCCAGATGGTACCAACCTACCCCTCTGGTCATGGACTAACCGTCCTCTCTTCTCTGGTCCTCCTCTCTCTGGCAGATTTGGACGCAATGTTGGGGCCGCAGCAGTTCAGGGGCGTGGCCAACTTTAGCACATTCCTATTGGACCGTTCGTCTGGCGTTCTCTTCCTGGGTGCGAGAGATGCCATACTGGCCGTGGACACCAACAACCTGGCACAGCCACCACGCACGGGTGAGGTAGGGAGGGAGGGAGGGATGGGGGAGGGAGGGGGAGGGAGGGGAGGGAGGGAGGAGGGAGGGGGGAGGGGAGGGAGGGGAGGGACGCGGGGGGAGAGGGAGGGCGGGAGGGGAGGCGAGGGGGGAGGGAGGTGATGGGAGGGGAGGGAGGGGAAGAGGAAGGGAGGGACGGGCGGGGGTGTGTGTGGTGGGGGGGATGGTTTTGTGTGTCTGAATTGTATTATATATATCATTATACATTATATTTCTATATTCATATTATTGTATAACAATATGATGAATCTCTGAGTTTGATATCTGACTATAATCTTATTTAATGAAGTTGACCTTTTCCCGGATAGTTTGTATAATTGACAGAATTAGTTGAGGTACATTTGCATATTCAGTCTAATTGGCCAAATGAGCTCCTGCATATTCGTCTCACATAGTTAAGTATTTTTAATGAGAGAATGGACGGATGATGCCCTTACATCTATCTGTCTTCTCATCTGTCCCATCTCTCTCTTTCTGTCTCTCTCTCTCTCTCTCTAGATTGTGTGGGATGTTCCTGAGGAGAAGAGGAGGTCCTGTGTGGCCAAGGGAAAGACAGAGGTGTGGTGTGTGCCTCCGTGCATGCATGCTTTTCTATGTGTGTGTGTGTGTGTGGTGTGTGTGTGTGTGTGTGTGTGTGTGTTGTCTGTGTGTGTGTGTGTGTTGTCGTGTTGCTGGTTTTTTTGTGTGGTGTGTGTGGTTGTGTGTGTGTGTGTGTGTGTGTGTGGGGTGTGTGTGTGTGTGTGTGTGTGTGTGTGTGAACACCTGAGCCTGTCTGTGTGTGCATTAACACACCTGTTGTACTGTGTTCTTGGCAGTAGGCCCGGTACGTCCTGACTCAGACTAAAAGTAGGAGCCCTGACTCGGACAGTGGACACAAGCACACACACACACACACACACACACACACACACACACACACACACACACACACACACACACACACACACACACACACACCATAAACACACACACACACACACACACACACACACACACACACACACACACACACACACACACACACACACACTTTGTCATGGTAACGGGGTTGGAGGGGGTTTGGAGGTGGGCTAAGGTTAGGTTGATGGGTAGGTGGTCTTTCTGTAGGCGGGGGGAGGGGGGGGGGGTCTCATATGACCTTCACCAATGGGGGTCTCTGGTTTCCTTTCAGAATCATCAATACCTCAGTGTTCTACAGTAGTGTTCCAGATTCTAGTGTTCCAGTGTTCTAGTGACTGGTGTTCTAGTGACTGGTGTTCTCAGTGTTCTGCCTCTTTTTTAAGGTGTAATCTGCTGTTCAAAAAATAACAAAGCGGCACCCCACCACTGTTTTGGTTACCAGCTGAGGGATGGGGCTGTAGAAATGTAACCACTCTTAAATTCATAGAGCTATGGATGCAAGGACTGACCATCCATGAGATCAAACAGTGTCGGGGTGGCCCCTTTGTTGTTGTTTGAACTGCAGATTGCCTCTTTAACTACAGTGTAACAGTACAATACATTAAATTAGAAATCATTAAAATTCTGTGGTGAAATATGATTGTAATTTCACTCATCCCCCTGTGCTCTGTCTCCCCTTTTCTGTAACAACTACATCCAATAACCACAGAGAGACAGTATTATGTATAATATGATATAACCTAATATATTTATAATGTGTATAATTATATAATGTGCTCTGTCTCCCCCTGTAGGATGACTGTAATAACTACATCCCCCCTATACGGTGTATAATAATAATCAAATCTAATATATTTATAATGTGTATAATTATATAATGTGCTCTGTCTCCCCCTACAGGGTGACTGTAATAACTACATCCGTCTGTTAGAGTTTCTTGGAGACGGGTGGATCTATGCCTGTGGAACCTACGCTTTTGACCCACAATGTGCCTTCGTGGTGAGTGTGAGTGTGTGTGTGTGTGTTTGTGTGAGTGTGTGTGTGTGTGTGTTTGTGTGTGAGTGTGTGTGCGCAATGACCTGCAATTGAACCCTTCACACTTGTTCACACACCAAAGTGACAGACACACACAAAAACACCCCCCCCCCCCCCCCCCCCCCCCCCCCAACACACATACTATAATTTATCCTCACCCCCCTCTCTTCTCTCTTTCAGAACATGTCTTCATTCTCTCTGGAGCGAGGGGAGGATGGAGGGGTGAGGATGGAGACCGGGAAAGGGAAATGTCCCTTTGAGCCCAGCCAGCACTATACAGCTGTAATGGCAGGTATTAGAACACACACTGTACACACACACTGTACACCACACTACACACACACGTATACACACACTGTTTCACACACACTGTACAAAACAACCCGTACACAACACTGTATACACACACTGTACACACAACACACACTGTACACACACACTGTATAAAACACACACTGTACACACACACTGTAATCACACACTGTACACACAAAACACCTGACACACACACTGTATACACCCCACTGTACACACAACACTGTTACACCCCACCACTGTACACACACACTTTAACACACACACCACCCACAAAACTGTTACACACACTGTACCCCACACACTGTACACACACACTGTTAAAACCCCACACTGTACCCCACACACTGTATCACACCCCTACCACACAACTGTACCACACACTGTTACACCCACCCGTACACCACCACACACACTGTAAAACCCCACCTGTACACCACACTGTATACCCCACCCGCACACACAACTTTACACACACACTGTCACACACAAAAACCCCAACCCCTTTACACCACACTGTTTACCCCACACCCTTCACACACACCCCCCTGTACACCCACCTGTAAAACCCCCTGTTCCCCCCCCACCCTGTACACACACAAAACTGTAAAACACCTGACACACACCTGTCCCCCACACACACACTGTACCACACCTGTACACACCACGATACCCCAACACACACACCACAACCCGTACACACACTGTCCCACACACACACCCCTGTACACACACAAGTCCCAAAACACTACACCCACTGTACACAACACACTGTACACACAACACGTTAACACACACACTGTACACACACACTGTACAACCCCAACACACCACACAACACTGTTTCACACACACTGTACCACACACACTGTACACACAAACACACTGTTACAACACCACACTTACACACCCCACCACACACCTGGGACAACACACAAAAACTGTTTCACACACACACACACACACTGTACACACACACTGTACACACCACACGTAACACACACACTGTACACCCACCACTACACCCCACTGTTTCACACACACTGTATACACACACACGTACACACACCACACACACACACTTTTTACACACACACACAAACCACACTTTTACACCAAAACTGGTTACACACAACACACCTGTTTCACACACTGTACACACACACGTAACACCACACTGTACACACCACTGTACACACCACACGTACACACACACTGTACACACACACACTGTACACCAAAACGTAACACACCACTGTCAACAAACACACTGTACACCCCACTGTACACAAAACACGTAACACACACCATACACACTGTACACACACAACATAAAAACAACAATGTCCACACCTGTACACACACACACTGTCACACACACACAACTGTACACACAAACACACACTGTACCCACACACTGTAAACCCCACTTTTACCACACACTGTACACACACAAAACCCCCTGTCAAAAACCCCAACTGTACACACCCCCACACCCCGGACACACCCACACAAACCCCCCTGTCCCACACCTGTACACCCCCACACACACACAAAACAAAACACACACACCCCCTGTAAATTCACACCCCCCACACACACTGTCCCACACCACTTGTACCCCCACACCCCCCTTGCCCCACACACGGTACCCACAAACACACACCCCCACCCCCAAAAATAAACAAAAAAAAAAAAAAAAAAAGAATAAACCACAAACCAACCCCCTGTACACACCCCACACGGTACCACACAAAAGGGTTAATATCCGCTTTAAACTAACGAAACAAAAGTTTTGGGGTTTAGGTGTCCCCCCCTGGGGCCCTTGCCCTTTCCCCGGGGGTGTCCTGTACTAAAAGCTGTCCTAAACAAACAAAAACAGGAATAGACAGCGTCCTGTGGGGGGTTGTTTTTTAAAATAAAGCCTTGCCCCTACAAAAACCGGGAGATGACTAGTTCCTTCCAGGGGGTTCCTGTACATAAAGCGGGTCTCACTACAAAAAAAGGATAACCTATTTCCCCGCCCCGGGGGGTTTCCTGTCATCAACTGTCTCCTACAAAAAACAGGAGATAGCAGCCCTGTCCAGGGGGGGGGCCGGTACTCAAGCTGTCTCACTACGAAACAGGAGATGACTATTTGTCCTTTCCCGGGGGTGTCCGGGTACATCAACCCTGTCTAAAACTACAAAACAGGAGATAGATAGTGCCCCGGGTCCGGGGGTTTTCCTTACATAAAGCTGTCCCACTACAGAAACAGGAAAATGGGCCCTTTGGCCCTTTTCCAGGGGGTGTATTTGTAAAATCACCCTCCCCTAAAACTACAGAAACAGAATAGACTGCCCCTGTCCGGGGGGTGTCCTTGTACATAAAACCTCCCTAAAAAAACGAAACAGGAATAGACTAGTTTTCCTGTCCGGGGGGGTGGCCCCTTTTAACTAAAGCTGGTCCACTCCGAAACGGAATAACAGTGCCTGCCCGGGGGGGGTTTATTTGTAATCAACCCTCCCTCCTACCAAACAGGAGATAACAGTGCCCTTTCCCAGGGGTTCCTGTACATCAGTTTGTCTACTACAAACGGGAGATAAAATAGTGCCTTCCAGGGGGTGTCCTTTTAACATCAAGCTGTCTCACTACGGGAAACCCGGAGATACCCTCCTGCCCAGGGGCCTTTTCTGGCTCGGAAAAGGGCTTCCTTCCCAAACTTTGCTAACCCAATACACCCTGAATACACACCACAGTAACACCAAATATCCTAAAATACACCCCAAACATTCCCAAAATTTAAATAAAACCCACCAATTCACACTATAATAAAACCACACCCAAAACTCAAATACACACTCTAATACCCCCCTCGAAAATTTCTCTCTTTCTCTCCCCCTCTCTTCTCTCCTCTCCCTTCTCCTCCTCTCTCTCTCCCCTTTTCTAGGAGGTATCTTGCCCCAAAACGGGCCCCAAAAGTCCCTTCCGGGGAACTTGTTCGATTCCCCCCGGAAACCCCGGACAGGAGAAAGGAACGTATCCCCCACCGAGAAAATCCATCAACGGGCTCTTTGGGTGAAAAAACCCCCACCCCAAAACAAAACACCACACCACACCCAGGAAAAAACGGGCCCCTCGCAGAAAACTCCACCCCTTTCCCAAAAACCACACCTTTTCTTCACACACAACCTAACCCCAGGTTTTTTTTTGGTACTTTTTTCTCTCTCTCTTTTGCCCCAATTTTCGTGCCCCCCTGTTCAAAAGAGCGGGGACAAGACAAAAACCCCAAACGGGAGACAAAACCCAAAAATTTTATTTCTTTTTTAAACCAGGGGTTTCCCAAAGGGAAAGAAACACCTCTCACAAGGTCAAATTTTCCCCGGGGTCGCACTTGTCTGAAGGGGTAGGTTCTGGGGCAGGGGTATGGGGGGGGCGGGCGGGGGGGGGGGGGGGGGAAACCCCGCCCCCCCTTCTATTTTTTTCCCCTTTTTGTCGTTTCACATTATTTGCTTGCCCCCAAAAAATCCATAGGATTTTTTTTGAAGTCCCATCCTAAAAAACATTTTTTTTGGTGAGACCACCCTGGGCCACCTCTTAAGTAATCACAAGTCTCTCCTTTTTCCTTTCCCCTCCCCTTTCATTTTTTTTTTCACTGTACTTTATACAATCCTCTCTCTCTCTCTCTCTCTCCCCCCTCTCTCCCCCCTCTCCCTCCTCCCCTCTTTTCCTCCTCTCTCCCCCTCCTCCCTCCCCCTCCTCCCCTCTCTCCCCCTCTCTCTCTCCCCCTCTCTCCCCTCCCCTCTCTCTCTCCCCCCTCTCCCCCCCCCCTCTCCCCCCTTTTTTCTCCCCCCTCCCCCTCTCCCCCTCTCCCCTCCCCCTCTCTCTCTCTCCCCCCTCTCTCCCCCCCTCTTTCCCCCCCTCTCTCTCCCCCCTCTCTCCCCCCCCTCCCCCTCTCTCCCCCCTTCTCTCTCTCCCCCCCCCCTCTCTCCCCCTCTATCTCCTCCCCCCTCTCTCTCTCCCCCCTCTATCTCTCTCTCTAGTTTTATGTGGTGGTATGAAGACATTACAGAGGCGTTGGACCACCTTCCTCAAGGCTCAGTTGGTGTGTGAGGACAGAGCCAGCGGACAGCGTTACAACATACTGACCGATGTCTACACGACACAACACACATCTGGAGACCCTAGCTCAACACACTTCTACGGTCTCTTCACTTCTCAGTGGTAAGGATGGAGGGGAGGATGGATGGACTTGTGGACTTCAGTGCACAACACATCAACTGTGTCTGTGACCTGGCGAGAGAGAAAAAAACCCCCGTTCCAAGCCAAACCTTCATATCATGACCGCTAACCGCTGCACACACAGCCTTCATCGTTGTGTCTCCATTAGGGCTGTGGTGGTTATTACAAAAAGACTGCCGGTCTCACGGCAATTGACCGTTAATTAACATAAACAACTTTAGCATCTCCTGGCCTCCACTAATAGAAGCTGCATTCAAGCCGATGATGGGCACCTTTGGAACATCTACAGTTAAAAAGTATATAAACAATCAATTTAATAAACACCATCGTAATAAATCCATTATTTATTTTAGTCAGGTCTAAAGAAACATTATGATATGAAGAAAATGTTTTTCAGAAGAACAGAAATGAGTTGGCCTACTGTATGTTATCTGGCTATGCTCCATGCCATAGGCTGTAGGCTAGTTCATTTAGCAGACAAGATATGCTTATAAGTCCCCATGCCATTATTTTACATTATATGATTTTAAAGTAAGAAGAATATAATTGAACTTAGCTGAATAAAATTCCGGAGGAAGTGCGCATATGAAGTGGCAATGTTGAGCTTAAAAGTGATCATTTGAAAAAGGTCCTATACGCTAGATTTAGAGTTATTTGGCAACTATAGTGATGAATGATACAAACCTTAGAATGTCTTAGAAATCAAAAGGTATACGGGCTGCATGATGCCATTATAGGCTATTGATGATTTGAGAAAGTCATAAAAAAGCCTGCGCTCTGTTCCTTGCCTCAGGCTGCACACGCTTTTCTCTCATCAATTGATCATATTTTCACCCCATCAGACTATTCTCAATTTAATCTTGTCTTTACTAATATCTAAAATCAGTTTAGATTTATAATGGCCCATTATCAAATGATCAGGAACAGCGGCAAGGGGCAAAAAGACATGTCATCCTTATGCCCTCCAATAGCGAATGGAGGCTGCGCGTTTTCCCGCCGGTCCGATTTTCAACGACGCCAGACAGGCTACTTCGGTTTTATTGCAGAGAGCTGTGCATGATATGAGCAGCTAAGAAATACAAGAACACTTATTTCACTCCACACATCACCCAATGTTTGAGGAGTATGCTCTCGCTGCGCGACAGGTGATATTCCGCCCAAACTCTGTATGCCATGGGCTCTCCAACCCTGTTCCTGCAGCTACCCAGCCAGTACTTTAATTTGGGAAACCAAGTGAAATCTGTTCGAGAACATCGATATTAAGATGTTTTCGCAAACAAAACATATTTTACTAAACGTTTGACAGCCCCTCTGCGCGCTTGAGAAAGGAATAAAGGAGAGAGAGGAGATGGAAACGCATGGTGGTGAGATATTCTGTAGCTAAAGGTAATGTGTCAGCCTATTAGTAATGAACATATAAAGAAATCCCTATTACTAGGTTATTCCAAAATCATATACAAATTCACTATAATCGTAAGCTAACTGTAAGCCGCCCTGTACAATCAATGAACCAACCGCATCGCCTCGGTCTATAGGTTCTCTCCCAGACTCCTGGATAGAAATGTATGAGGGCATTAATACAGTCCACACTCAAAGGCGATTACTCAAATGTGTTTACTTTTGGAGTATAGGCTAGAACCAGTTATGTACCGAAGACATCTTAAATCAGTTTTGTTTTATGTTTTTCTGCCATGCGTAATATGCAGTAGGTTATGTATTGTATAACGGCACAATCATTTTAATTCAGGTGTTTTTTTTCGGGCTTGGGCTCATAAGCCCTATGCATATGCCTAAGCTCTAATATGTGTATGAGAGTTTTGAATTAATAATCAACTTAGAAACCACTGTCCATTTCGTTGTGTTAGGCTTTGAAACAACATCCACAATCAGTTTCAACTTGCTTTTGAACTTCTTTCTTCAAATTGATCATAATAATAATAATAATAATATGCCATTTAGCAGACGCTTTTATCCAAAGCAACTTACGGTCATGTGTGCATACATTTTTACGTATCATCACAATGAGGTGAGTTTTAAAAGCATGAAGCTGTTTTGATGATAAGTGTTTATGTGATTTTTCGATTGCATTTGCACTGATGTCAGAGTGGTTAGAAGGACAATAGAGGCCGGAGTACCAGGCCATTAGCGACCTGATGGTCGTTTGGGTCCTACCAACACATGTCCTGAGTGCACACTGTAAGAGGAGATTACCATGACTCAATGGTCAAGTGGAATTTTACTGCGGACATGACTCATGACTGCCTGTGCTGTGGTGATGTGGTCACCACAACAGCCCTACTCACCATTATTAGCTAACGTCATAATCAACATAGCTACTAGAACTAAAGCGTTAGTAAACCGCTACAATCATGCAGTACAGTGTAGTCAGCAAGCAGTTTAGCAGTTACACCAGCGGGCCCCGGTGGCAATAAATTAATAAAACCAAAAGCTTACCTTGACTTGGAAGAGTTCCAGTGTTGGATAGCTATAGCCAGCTAGCTAACATAGCATCCCTCTCTGTTTGACCCAGGTGTTTGAATAGGCTAAACTAGCTAGCTGCCTTTGACACTAGCTAAGTAAGTGAAAGTGAAAAAATATATACTATGAAATATAGCTAGCTCGCTTTCTTGCTACTCCTTCATTTTAGAATAAATTAATTTGTTCAAAACTGTTGTCTTTCTCTCTCTTTGAGTCAACTACCCACCACATTTTATGCACTGCAGTGCTAGCTATCTGTAGCTTATGCTTTCAGTACTAGATTCATTCTTTGATCCTTTGATTGGGTGGACAACATGTCAGTTCATGCTGCAAGAGCTCTGATAGGTTTGAGGACATCCTCCGGAAGTTGTCATAATTACTGTGTTAGTCTATGGAAGGGGGTGAGAACCATGAGCCTCCTAGGTTTTGTACTGAAGTCTTATACCCAGAGGAGGAGGGAAGCTAGCTGTCCTCTGGCTACACTATGGTACTACTCTACAGAGTGCTGCTGAGGCTACTGTAGACCTTCATTGCTAATCAGTGTGTTTTAATCAATTATTTGGTGACGTGATTATATTTAGTGTAGTTTTATCTAAAAAGGATAACTTCTTGAATGTTTCACTATTTTAATTTGTATGAAATTCACTGAGGAGCCTCAACTGGTAGAGAGTATAGAGTGAGAGAGACAACAACAGGAACATGTGAAACTTCCTTTCATTATACTTGTTCACCTAAATCAAATCCTATCCCTCTCTCCTGTGTGTGTGTGTGTGTGTGTGTGTGTGTGTGTGTGTGTGTGTGTGTGTGTGTGCAGGGAGTATGAGGAGTTGTCAGCGGTGTGTGTGTACAGTCTGGCTGACATCAGTAAAGTGATGGACGGACCCTTTAAGGAACTGAAGAAGACCTGTGAGAACTGGATCAACCCAGAACCAGTACCAACACCTAGACCAGGACAGGTACAGTCTAGAACACATTACCTAGAACCACTATCAACACCTAGACCAGGACAGGTACAGTCTAGAACACATTACCTAGAACCGCTATCAATACCTAGACCAGGACAGGTACAGTCTAGAACACATTACCTAGAACCACTATCAATACCTAGACCAGGACAGGTACAGTCTAGAACACATTACCTAGAACCACTATCAACACCTAGACCAGGACAGGTACAGTCTAGAACACATTACCAAGAACCAGTACCAGTACCAACACATAGACCAGGACAGGTACAGTCTAGACCACATTACCTAGAACCACTATCAAAACCTAGACCTGGACAGGTACAGTCTAGAACACATTACCTAGAACCAGTACCAAAACCTAGACCAGGACAGGTACAGTCTAGAACACATTACCTAGAACCACTATCAACACCTAGACCTGGACAGGTACAGTCTAGAACACATTACCTAGAACCACTATCAATACCTAGACCTGGACAGGTGCTCAGTACCAGGTTACACCAGGACCTGCCTAGTTAAAAGTTATTTGAGATAGATGAATGAGTTAAGAACTTTAAATATTAACTAAATCTTTCCTTTACCCAGTGTCTGAACAGTGCTCTGAGAGCGGAGGGCTTCGAGTCTTCTCTCAAGCTGCCGGACAAGGTAATATATAATACAGTATAATAATAATATAATTATACTAATCTATATCAATATAATATATATATAATAATAATATTATATATGCTTGAAGGTGTTGACGTTTATGAGAGACCACCCTCTGATGGAGAACAGTGTGATCGCAGTGCCTATACTGGTGAGGAGGGGAGTCACATACACTAAAGTAGCCGTTACCAGGACGACCACGCTGTCGCAGAGCAACGCAGCCACCGTGCTGCACCTGGGAACAGGTGAGGGAGGGGTGGAAGTGGAGACTTGAGAATGGGTGAGGGAGCGGATGTTGTGGGGGCGGGGGGCTGTTCCGGCCGGGGGCTGTTCCCGCGGCTGGCTTGTTCGGCCGGCGGTGTTCCCTTCGGCCGGCGGGCTTTCTCGGCCGGGCGGGCATGTTCCCGTGCGCGGCCGGCTGGCTGTTCCCGGCCGGCCTTGTTCCCGTGCTCGGCGGCGGGCTTTTCTCGCGGGCGGCTGTTCTTCCGTGCCGGCCGCCGGGCTGTTCCCGTGCCGGGGGCGGGCTGTTCCCTGCGCGCCAGCGGGCTGTTCCCGGCCGTGGGCATTTCACGGCCGGGGGTGTTTCCCGTGCGCGGCCGGCGGGCTGTTCTCGAGGGCGGGTGTTCTGGCGGGGGGTGTTCTCCCGTGCGGGCCGGGGGCGGGTTCCCGGCCCGGGCTTTTCCGGCCGGCGGGCTGTTCCCCCGGCGTGCTTTTTCCCCGCCGGCTGGCCTTCCCGCCCGGGCTGTTCCCGGCCCGGCTTTCCCGTGCAGGCGGGGCTTTTCCCCGCCGCGGCTGTTCTCGTGGGCCAGGAGGGGGCTGTTCCCTGCCGGCGGCTTTCCCGGCGCGGGCTGTTCCCCGGCTGCTGTTCCGTGCGGCCGAGGCTTTCCCGCGCGCCTGTTGTGGGGCGGGCGACTTCTGGGCGGGGTCTGGCCCCATCCCGCGGCTGCTTGTGCGCACCCTCCCCCATGTGTGCTTTTCTTTTCACGTGTGTGTGTCTATGTGTCTGTGTGTGTCTGTGTGTGTGTGTGTGTGTGTGTGTGTGTGACCGGTGTGACCACCAGATCGGGGGGAGCTCCACAGAGTAAGTGGTGGTAGACACAACACTACGCTACTACAGGAGATACCTCTCTTCTCTGAACAGAACCTGTCAACAACATACTGCTACACAAGGTAACACACACACACACACACACAGACACATTCACACACACCCACACCCACACACACACACACACACACACACACACACACACACACACACACACACACACACACACACACACACACACACACACACACACACACAGACACAAGCTAAACTTCTATTCCTTCCCTCCTCTCTCTCTCCCCTCCCTCTCTCCCTCCCTCCTCTCTCTCCCACTCCCTACCTCCCTCCCTCCCTCCCTCCTCAGGGGCAGGCTCTAGTAGGTACCCCCCTATCCCTGGCCCGTGTGGGGGCAGAGGGGTGCAGCCTGTACACCAACTGTGAAGTGTGTGCCCGGGCTAGACCCCTGGGGTGTGTGTGGAGGGCCAAAGAGGGAACCTGTGGCCCCAGCATGACAGAGTGAGTAACACACACACTATAACAGAAGTATTTAAGCACACACACACACACACACACGCGATCTTACCCTCCGTGTGTATGTTGTAGGCCCATCCAGGGAGAGGAAGTAGAGGATGCTCTGAAGCTGTGTGACAGTGGAGAAGGTGAGTGAAACTGCTTGATAATCAATGATAATAACAACAACAACAACAACTGCTGCTTGTTAATCACTTAGAAGTACCTTCTACAAGTTTACATTACTGCAAAGAGTTTCCAGGTTATAGTTGCAATTGAAATCAATATAATTTTTTTTTAAATTTTGTCCCTCCCTCCCTCCCTCCCTCCCGCCCTCCCCTCCCTCCCTCCCTCCCTCCCTCCCTCCCTCCCTCCCTCCCTCCCTCCCTCCCTCCCTCCCTCTCCCCGATCCCTCCCTCCCTCTCCCTGATCCCTCCCTCCCTCCCTCCCTCCCTCCCTCCCTCCCTCCCTCTCCCCGATCCCTCCCTCCCTCCCTCTCTCCCTCCCTCCCTCCCTCTCTCCCTCCCTCCCTCCCTCCCTCCCCCCTCCCTCCCTCCTTCCCTCTCCCCCCAATCCCTCCCTCTCTCCCCTCCCCTCCCCTCCAGGTCGTTGTTCCCCTGCCCTGAGGGAGCTGCGTGTCTCTGTGGGTCTCCATGTTCTGTTGCCCTGCGTCCAGGTGTCACCACGCCCCTGTACCTGGGAACACCCACCACACAGGTGATGCTTTATACAATGAATAATAATAATAATAATAATAATAATAATAGTTATAACAACAGCAAATACAAATAACAACATGAAGAAGAACAATAATAAATGTCTAATTTTATCTTGTTATTTCTAAATGCGATGTTTTTCTCCCAGACACACCCGTCAGCATCACTCTGACCTGGAGGTCACTGTCACAGTGGAGAGCCTGGGGACATACACATGTCTATGTCAGGTAGGCTGAACACACACACACACACACACACACACACACACACAACACCCACACACACACACACACACACACACACACACACACACACACACACCACACACACACTACATACACACACACACCACACACACACAAACACCCCACACATCAGCAAGCATACCACTTTCCTCTTTTCCCCCCTTATTTCCCCCCCCCCTCCTCCCTTTGTTCCCCTCTCTCCCTCCTGTCCTCTCTCTCCCCTCTCTCCCTCCTGTCCTCTCTCTCCCCTCTCTCCCTCCTATCCCCCCTCTCCCCTCTCTCCCTCCTATCCCCCCTCACCCCTATCCCCCTCCTGCCCCCCCTCTCCCCTCTCTCCCTCCTGTCCCTCTCCTTCTTTCCTCCCTCCTGCCCCCCCTCTCCCCCCTCTCCCTCCTTTCCCCCTCTCCCCCCCTCTCCCCTCCGGCCCCCCCCCCTCTCCCCCTCTCTCCCTCCTCCCCCCCCTCTCCCCTCCTCCCCCCCTTTTCCCCCTCCCCTCCCCCCTCTCCCTCCGTCCCCCTCTCCCCCCCTCCCTCCTGCCCCCCCTCCCCCCTCTTTTCCCTCCGGTCCCTCTTCCCCTTTTCTCCCCCCCCCTCCCCCCCCCCCTCTCCCCTCTTCCCCCCCCCCCCCTCTCTCCCCTCCCCTCCCTTTTTTCCTCCCCTCCCCCCCCTCCCCCTCCTTCCCTTCTCTCCCTCTCTCCCCTTTCCTCCCCCCCTCTCCCCTCTCTCCCCCCCTTTCCCCCCCCCCCCCCTCCCCCCCTCTCCCCCTCCTTCCCCCCCTCCCCCCTCTCCCCCCCCCTTTCCCCCCCCCTCCCCCCTCTCTCCCTCCTGCCCCCCCCCCTCCCCTCTCTCCCTCCTTTCCTCCTCTCCCCCTCTCCCCTCCTTTCCCCCCCCTCTCCCCCTCCTTCCCCCCTCCCCCCCTCTCCTCCTTCCCCCTCTCCCCCCCCTCTCCCCTCCTTTTTCCCCCCCAAACCCCCCTCTCTCCCCCCTACCCCCCCCTTCCCCCCCTTTTCTCCCTCCTTCCCCCTCCCCCCCTCCCCCTCTCTCCCTCCTGTCCCCCCTCACCCCTCTCCCTCCTGTCCTCTCTCTCCCCTCTCATCCCTCCCTGTCCCCCCCCTCTCCCCCTCTCCCCCGTCTCTCCCCGCCTGGCCCCCTCCCCCCTCTCCCCTGCTCTCCCCCTGTCCCCCTCACCCCTCTTCCCTCCTGTCCCTCCCCTCTCCCCGCTCTCTCTCCTGTTCCCCACTCTATCTCTCTAAACCTCCTGTCCCCCCTCTCTCCTCTCTCCCTCCTGTCCCCCTCACCCCCTCTTCCCTCCTGTCCTCCCCTTCCCCTCTCTCCCTCCTGTCCCCCCCCCCCACCCTCTCTCTCCTCTCTACCTCCTGTCCCCCCTCTCTCCTCTCTCCCTCCTGTCCCCCCTAGCCCCTGTCTCTCCCCCACCAGGACGGTGGTCTAATGGGTAAACGCGAGTGTCCTACCTGTTTAGAAGTGAACTTTATTACTGTGTATGTGTGTGTGTGGTCCAGGAGGGTGGACCAGGGGGTAAGGAGGAGAGTCCTGCCTGTCGTAGAGCCTCCTACCATCTCACCCTGGAGGGTCCCAGCGCTGGGGGGGCCGTGGCCACGGCTGGAGGACGTCACCTACTGGTCATCTACATACTCTGCTTCAGGTAGGATAAACACACACATGGACACACACGGACACACACACACACACACACATGGACACACACATGCATCTTCACTCACTCTTTGCTGCTCTCAAAACTTAAATAAATCTCTCTTTAACCCACGATCCCCTCTCTCACATCTCTTTCCCCCCTCCCCCTGATCCCCTCTCTCCCATCTCTTTCCCCCCTCCCCGATCCCCCTCTCTCCCCCAGCCTGGGCGTTGCCATCGGTTGCTTTCTCCTCCACTTCCTTTCCCGCCAACGCGGGATTGGCCAGCGCCACCCAGACCACTCCCTTTCCTCTGAGAAAGGGCAGGACTTGCTGGGCTCCTCGGCGACGCCGCAGTCACCTAGCAGTGCCAGTTTGCTGTCGGAGGGGTTCCCATTAACGGAGAAGAGAGGAAATGGAACGCTGCTACTGACACACCACCACAACAACGGCAACGATGGTCACCACGGCAACTACGGCGTCGTTGGCAGCAACGGCGGCTACAACGGTAACCGTGGCAACGGCGGCGGCCACGGCAACGGCGGCTACGCCAACAACGCTAACTGTAACGTGCAGACGGCAGCGAGCGCTGTGGACGGGCTGAAGCTTCACGTTCAGGAGATGGTGACGGGGGAGAGGAGCCGGGGAGAGAGGGAGAGCGGGAGGCCGGAGAGGGGACAGGGGGATGAGGAGGACGAGGGGCTGGGGGAGGGGTTGGTGGGACTGGAGGAGGAATTAGCGGGGTTTGCGTTGTTTAAGTTACCGGCACCATTAGCCCAGTGTGAGGAGAGTTCCATCTGATACGCAGAACGATGTAGAGGCGTGACCAAGATACACGTGTTGAGAAACGAGACATATAGGCTGCGTCACAAACGGCACCCTGGTCAGAAGCAGTGCACTATATAGAGAATAGTGTGCCATTTGAGACGCAGACTAAAAAAGAGAGACATTACTGAGCTCTTCTCTGTCTATTGCTGAACACGGACGAACGAGGGATGAAAAGAGAGAGAAAGGGTTGGCTGAGGAGATAAAACACTTGTGATACACAGTCACAACCTCTCCGTCTGTCCTTTACTCTCCACAACCAACAACCTATCAAAGTCACAAAGCGGCCCCACACACAAAAGCCATACACTTTCTCTTTCTTTCTTTCTTTCTTTCTTTCTTTCTTTCTTTCTTTCTTTCTTTCTTTCTTTCTCTCGCTCTCTCTCTCTCTCTCTCTCTCTCTCTCTCGCTCTCTCTCTCTCTCTCTCTCTCACCTCTGTATTTTTTCTCTCCACAACCAACAACCAATCCAAGTCACAAAGGGGCCCCAGAGCCACACCGTGCCCAGGCAGAGTGCACGATACTGTGCATGACGTGGCGAGAGGTCAGCTTCTTACGCCAAACCTCCAGCAGGACACCTCAAAGACTGCTATTAATGAAGGCTGACGTTGCGTTCCAATAATCTCTCCTTTCTCCCGAAGTGTGCACACTTTTGGGAAAAAGGTGGAAAATCAGGACGCAGCCGCAAAACTATGGATCTGTCTCAGACCTCTCAGATGGACTGTAGTGGCCGAGCTCAGATGTTAGATTAGAGGTCAAAAGTTCAAAGGTCATGATTGAAAAAGGAGAGTTACTAAATATAAAGACATGAACTGGAGATCCAGACGGAACGTTATTAAGACAAGGAAGACAAGAAAATAAGAATATTGGAATTCTGGAATGGAATTGTGGAAGATTCTGAAATTTTCAGACTGGGAACATTCCTATTTGGGAAAACTGAGAGGGATTCTGTTATGGAATTTTAGCCTCACCTGATTGGACACCCGCCATTTTGTTTCTCTGAGTGAAGGCCTTTTTCCCAAATGGCACCTACTTTTGACCAGAGCCCTATAGGTCAAAAGTAGTGCACTATGTAGAGAATAGGGTGCTATTAGAGACAAAGCCAGGGGTTTCAATCAAAACCTTTTAATATAATGTAACTACATCACTGTTGTTTTACAGTACAGTAGAAGTTGAGGGACGACACCATAGAAACAGAATGTTGTTTTACACAGTAGACTTTTAGAATTAGTGGTGACACGAGAAACCCTGGAGATCCTCAAGGAACCCCTGTAGTTCCTCAAGGAACCCCTGTAGTTCCTCAAGGAACCATTGTTAGTCAATGGTTCATATTTGCACCTTCGGTTAGTTGAGGGGTTGTTGGAGGAACCTTTAATGAACGTGTCAAACTCATTCCACAGAGGGCCCAAGTGTCCTGAGAGTTTACGCTCCACCCTTGTACTTGATTGATGAATTAAAGGTCACTAATTAGTAAGGATCTCCCTTCACCTGGTTGTCCAAGTCTTAATTGAAAGGGAAAAAAACAAAAACCCGCAGACACTCGGCCCTCCATGTAATGAGTTTGACGCCCCTGCTTTAATGGTTCATTGTAGCAACAGGTTCCTGAAGGAACCCTGGAGTGGAGGCGTGACTTAGTAGGGGCGTGGGTTTAAAATATATATTTTCTTGGCCACTCTTTAGAGTAAATGTCCTGTTCATCTGTTCTGTTGTATTTTCATCACATGTTAAGGTTGAGCACTGACAGTTTTGTAGCTTCAATGAGGCTAACAGAGGGGTATGAGTTCCTCGAGAGTCTATGTTGGAATAGTTACCACTTTATTGTTGAATGGAATCAGCAATGTTAATATTATAAATATTATATTAGAATATGTAACATGTATAAATATTCAAGTAACATTTTAAATGGCAGTGTACAAACTTAACATGATGAACAGGAATGACATTTACGCTAACGGGTGACCAAAAAGAACTATCTGAAAGTCATGCCTCCAATAAGCCACGCCTCCAATCTAATAGGCTGCCACCGCACAATATATTATTAAAAAGGTTCAAAATTGAACCCCTCCCATCACAAAAAGGTTCCGGTTTGAACCTTTATACAGGGGTTCCTGTTTCAACTGGAAAGGTACCACTGGTGTGGCAACCCAAAAGGTTCTTCCAGGCACCTTTACATCTACGATTGTACAGTGGAGGTTGGGGAGGAGACCATAGAAACAGAATGACTAGAAAGGGCATTCCCCATTCAAATCAATGGGTTTGTAATGGGTTTACCGGCAGCCATTTAACAAGTGGGATTCTATTTCTATGGCAACACTGATGATGTCACACCGTAGTTGAATGATCACAACAGAGGGTCAGAATACAGTTGAAGTCGGAAGTTTACATACACCTTAGCCAAATACATTTAAACTCAGTTTTTCACAATTCCTGACATTTAATCCTGGTAAAAATTCCCTGTTTTAGGTCAGTTAGGATCACCACTTTATTTTAAGAATGTGAAATGTCAGAATAATAGTAGAGATAATTATTTATTTCAGCTTTTATTTCTTTTATCACATTGCCAGTGGGTCAGAAGTTTACATACACTCAATTAGTATTTGGTAGCATTGCCTTTAAATTGTTTAACTTGGGTCAAACATTTCGGGTAGCCTTCCACAAGCTTCCCACAATAAGTTGGGTGAATTTTGGCCCATTCCTCCTGACAAAGCTGGTGTAACTGAGTCAGGTTTGTAGGCCTCCTTGCTCGCACACACTTTTTCAGTTCTGCCCACACATTTTCTATAGGATTGAGGTCAGGGCTTTGTGATGGCCACTCCAATACCTTGACTTTTTTGTCCTTAAGCCATTTTGCCACAACTTTGGAAGTATGCTTGGGGTCATTGTCCATTTGGAAGAACCATTTGCGACCAAGCTTTAACTTCCTGACTGATGTCTTGAGATGTTGCTTCAATATATCCACATACATTTTCCTTCCTCATGATGCCATCTATTTTGTGAAGTACACCAGTCCCTCCTGCAGCAAAGCACCCCCACAGCATGATGCTGCCACCCCCGTGCTTCACGGTTGGGATGGTATTCCTCGGCTTGCAAGCGTCCCCGTTTTTCCTCCAAACATAACGATGGTCATTATGGCCAAACAGTTATATTTTTGTTTCATCAGACCAGAGGACATTTCTCCAAAAAGTACTGTGGATATAGATACTTTTGTACCTGTTTCCTCCAGCATCTTCACAAGGTCCTTTGCTGTTCTGGGATTGATTTGCACTTTTCGCACCAAAGTACGTTCATCTCTAGGTGATAGAACACGTCTCCTTCCTGAGCGGTATGACGGCTGCGTGGTCCCATGGTGTTTATACTTGCGTACTATTGTTTGTACAGATGAACGTAGTACATTCAGGCATTTGGAAATTGCTCCCAAGGATGAACCAGACTTGTGGAGGTGTACAATTTTTTTTCTGAGGTCTTGGCTAATTTATTTTGATTTTCCCATGATGTCAAGCAAAGAGGCCTTGAAAAACATTCACAGGTACACCTCCAATTGACTCAAATGATGTAAATTAGCCTATCAGAAGCTTCTAAAGCCATGACATCATTTTCTGGAATTTTCCAAGCTGTTTAAAGTCAACTTAGTGTATGTAAACTTCTGACCCACTGGAATTGTGATACAGTGAATTATAAGTTAAATAATCTGTCTGTAAACAATTGTTGGAAGAATTACTTGTGTCATGCACAAAGTAGATGTCCTAACCGACTTGCCAAAACTATAGTTTGTTAACAAGAAATGTGTGGAGTGGTTGAAAAACGAGTTTTAATGACTCCAACCTAAGTGTATGTAAACTTCCGACTTCAACTGTATGTAGAGCCAGGAGTTTCTCCTGACCAAGTGATCTGCCCAGGAGAAACCCTAGGCCCCATTTTGTAGGCTAGGACCCAGGGTGTGTCCCAATAATACGTACTTTTCTCCTGAACACTCGTTCACTACTTGGCATGAGCTAGTGGGAGTTTTCCATCATATTAGTTATAGGATAGGACCCAGAGTTTTTCCTGAGCAGATAATATGATTCATAGCACCAACAATGCTGATTTTTAAAGGCGATTGTGGAGGTCGCGTTTACGGTAAACACTGCGCATGTCAGCTCAATAGTAAATTACCTTTAAAATGCAGATTTGGATTGAATCCCGGCCTAAGAAAAACTCTGAGCCCCAAGTACGGCATATGTTGAACACAGCACTCAGTTAGTCACAGCCATTTGTCAGCTGATTTTGAGTGACAAGCACTGCCATCCAATGGTGTTCAATGGAATGACTGCACATTGTAAACTGCAACCAACCTTTGAAGGTAAAAAAACCACCCACAAGAATCCTGATTCTGAATTATATAATTTGTTTTATAATTCTTGAGAATATTTTGAGAAATATAGCCAAGGCAAGGCCTAAGTAATATATGCTATAATGACAGGCACTATAGCCACCAAATTGAACAAGAGGAGGGAGTTTTACAAAAAGAAAGAAAGAAAGAAAGAAAGAAAGAAGAAAGAAAGGAAAATGGCTAACAGGTTATCTCCAACACTATCCGCCTATAAGTCTCTGTGTGTTTGTGTCTCAAATCACCCCCTATTCCCTTTATAATGCACTAATTTTGACCAGGATTCATAGGGAAAAATGTATGCACTATATAGGGAATAGGGTGCAATTTGGGACAAACAGTATGTGTGTATAGAGATGAGCAGGCTATTGCTGTGATGCTATGAGCTTTTATGGCCACTGGGTGGCGACGTCATCCAGTCTTTCATTATCTTCTTCTTCTTCTTCTTCTTCTAGTAGAATCAGTACACAATGGTACGTAAGTGGCAATGATAGAACTCTACATTTCTCTCTCTCTGAACTTCTTTCTCTCTCTCCTCTGCACTCTTTCCTTCTCGCTATTCTTCATCGTCTCTTCTCTCTCTCTTCGATATGTCTCGTCTCTCTCTCTC